CACATGATCCTTCAGAAATCATTCTAATATACTGATTGCTGCTCAAGAAACATTTCCTTATTATTTAATGTTGAAAACAGTTGTGCTGCAGTTGTGTTTTAGTGGAAGCCATGATACGTTTTTCAGGGTTCTTCGAATAGAACATTCAAATGGACAGCATTTATTTATTTTATTTGCATTTATTTATTTAAATGTCTGTTTCATGCATCCTTGCATAATTTAATTTCAATTTGTTTCTTTTGAAATAAAAAAAAAATTCGTACTGACCTTAAACTTTTGAACTACAGTGTATTTTGTCAATAAAATTCAATTTTAATAGAATCTTTATATAGTTTTCTAACAAAATTTTAAATTCGGTACATTTCTGCTTGTGATAACATAATAAAATAATGTGTTTAGCTGTATATAATAACATATCTTAAGTCTAGCCAAAAATGTTGTAGTTATCTGCTTGCCCTTCCTTTTACAGGTACTTAAAGCAGGAGTCCCCAGAGGAATGGACACTAGAGAGATTAGCAGAGGGTTTCTCTGTAAGCCCTGATGACATTTCCAGAGTCCTCCGCAGCAAATTCACCCCATCAGCAGTCCGAAAGCTAAAGCAGGACACGAAAGTGTTAGCTAATAGTGGGCCGCAGTCTCTCAGAGATGGCAAAACTGAGCAGTCCAGACTGCCAAAGACTGCAACACCAGCCATACTCCCCTCTGGAAACACAGGTGCCCTGACAGCACTGAGTACAGGAGCGCTTGCAGTGAGGGAGACTGACACTGGACTCATGCCCTCTAGTGGTAACATAGTACCATCTCAGCTATCGGCTGAGCAGAAAGTGACACCTGCTTTACATGAGCAGCCTGACTCTACATCTGAAATGGACATGAGGGATGATATAGAGTTAGAGGAGGAATGGGATGGAGTGATTCTGACCGAGGAAGAGCTAGAGCACATCGCACAAACACTGAAGGAAAAGCCCAGTTCAGTGGAACAGAAGGGAAGAGAGTTTTTTGACAGTGAAGGCAACTTCCTGTATAGAATTTGAGCTATGCTGCCAAGTCACCATGTTTATCAAAACACTTGTTGCTCAAGTCTAGGCCTGTTCTTTTATGAATATTACTTTATTGTTAGAATTTGCAACAAAACTGGCACAGCTAGGAGAAAGCTGTCCTATCCTTTAAATTTGAT